GACTGCTACTCAAGGTGTTCAGAAGACTCTGTATTTTGTCAGCATCCTCCCCTAACAGGACTATGTCATCTGCATATTCTAAGTCCATAAGACTACTCCCCGGTAACAAGTCAATTCCTAAGTCGTTACGTTCAGTTAAGGATACTTCCATCAGCATATCTTTGCCCAACACTCTACGCCTAACGTCAACATTACTTACCTTGTTAAACCACCTAACGTGAGACAGAGATCGCGGACATCTATGATCGAAAGGAGTCAACCTTTTCATGTCTTCAACAACTCGTATTGGCCATGTTTCAGAGCCATAGAGAAGGACGGATCGAACTGCAGCTGAGCAGTACACACACGTCCCTTGGTTGATTCCTATAAATATGAATTCTGAAACATTAAAATCCCAGTTAATTGACTGACTAGACGAATAAAAAGACTCTAGAATATTTGAATTTCACGCCTTGATGATGATGTGTGTTTGATGTGACGCAGACAAACGTAAAGACTTGCAGGCAGGTGAAAACCATCAAACTGCCTAAGAAGATGGGACTCCAGGTGGACATAGAGAAGACGGAGGTGGTGATGGTGGTAAGTAGCCGATTGCAACAACAACAACAACAACCAGCACTAGTCACCAGTAATCAATTAGGAGAGATTTGGTAGGAGTTACTTCCTGCATTCACTTGTCCCGGCTAGAAAGCACGGTTTCAACCATATGCAGACAGTCTGACAGCACGAATGAAGATGTCAAAGCTGGCCAACCAGCCAGCCAACCAGAATCGGAAAGGTAAGATACGCCTTCATCAACCTGGGGACCAGTTTGGAAATCTTCTGACTCACTCACTCACTCACTCACTCACTCAGCCAGCCAGCCAGCATAAATAACAAGAGTCGAATTGTATTCGACACAAATATGAAGTCAGTCGATCAGTTCTTCCATACCGAGCAGAAACTTGAAATGCAAGTGCGTCACGAAAAGGATTTCCAACAGGCTCTAATACGACAGAGTTTTATGAATAGCTGCCCATTTCGCTGGCTGACTGAATGACTCCATAGTGGAGATCAAGTGGCTGACCGGCCTATGGATGGGCGAGAAAGAGGGAATTGGCGACAAGAAACTCTGGGAAGTGACAAACCAATCGAGCTAGAGCTGACTGCTCAACGTATATGTAGGGGTGGGGTGGGTGAATGGAGATGGATCGATCGGGCATACGCCAATGAGGAGGCCATCGGTCGAATGACATCGCGCGTAATCCAGGCCCTGGCCTGGATGGAATCTCAGTGAGAAGCGACGAGTTGGTGGTCATCGGTGCGAGGATGATTTGGAAAAGATCGTGTAGCTAGCCAGCTGAAGAGAACAGCGCCAAATATAATAAAGTGTGGATGTGTTGTTGAAGCCATATGTTCCCCTGAGAACCCAAGGGAATCATAATAGTATTAATAATAAATTGATGAACTAACAAGCATTCTACTAAGAATGTAAACAGAGAAACAGAAGGTCCTGTGTTTGAACCTTGGTGGGTGCGTACTGATGAAGAGTTCCAAAATAGGACGAAACAGCTGTCTAGTACTCCCTGCAGGTTTTCCAATGATTCTCTAATGTTAGCCCATGATGAAATACTGTAACCAATAAAGTGAAACATGTGAATAAATTATTCCTCCCTTCAACTAACTGGCTAACCAATCCTCATATTACACTGCTCACAGCTGAAAATATATCCCAGTCAGTGACATTCGTGCCACCTTATCTTTATCTTTTCATATATATGTGTATATATTGTCATTATACCATATTTCTTTTTGCACTGCCTTTTTCTGTTCCCTTCCTATTGATTCTCCTCTCTTTTTATTCTGCATGGCTTCTCACAACCCTTGATGTGATGACTGCATTTAACTTCATTCCTTCGGATGTATAAATTGAGGTAGTGGTTTTGACACAAGTGAAACCGTAATTATATTCAAGATTGTATGCGTTGATAATGTCTGAAGGAGTAAAAATGAGAAGGATTACAGTATTGCATTGTTGCTATCATCAATGTTATTATTATTATTATTATTAAAGATTGGTGCAAACTAATATAAAATTCATAAAACCGCATTGTTGAATGTGGGTAAAGTCATTCTACTAATGTAGATTATTTGAATAGCCATTGTCCCTGGAGGAATAAATCGTTTATTCTCCTAAAGACATTGCTGTTTTTTTATATATTCTGCTGTCCAGTTATATAATAACTTTCTGTATTCATCTGTTAATTGATGATGATTACAAGTCGTGAAAGGAATGCTCGGGTAGACGGGAAAGTTGGTGATGATGACATATATATATATATATTCATGGATAATCCCCATCCAGGCATTAATGAAAACAAAACACGTAGATCAGCGAAGAGTCCCTTTACGACGGTGAATACATTTTCTTAGCTGTACAATCGCACTTATGTTATTTTGTATGTATGTGTGCATTAAGTTTGTCAAACAAAAATAGACAATTGGTTATGGTTATTTTAACTAAACAGGTGAAGATTAGTAATTGGAGTTACGTAATACAAAACTGGTCAAGAAAATTAGGTGTTAATGAAATTAGGGAAGTAATAAAGGTGACGAGTTGTCACGAACAGTTGTTAAAAGAGAAGTTATGTAATAATATGAATAGTTTGATGAGTGAGTTTTACTCAGGATACACATAGGAACAAAGTAGGGAAGACAAAAAAATACGGAAGATTTTATAAATGAATACAAGAATTATAAGCAATTAAAGAACAGGGAAGAAGGCGAAATTAATTCATCAAAATCAAAAAAGTTGTTACCATGACAGTAGAAGTGGTTGAGTAATCCTATTTTGTATGCACAGCTCCGGTTTTTCTATGTGAATGGCGAGAGCTTCAGCGATACAAAGAAGACGAAACTGTATTGCCTTTGATAGGTTATTCTTGACTCTGTAGGTTACTTTGAAGAAGGAGGCGTTTGTTGAAATGGAATGATTAGTGTGTTAACCAGGTGTTCAATTATCGCGCTCCTTATTGCACCACTATTGCCTTTTCTCAATCATGCTGACTGTAGATAGTGTTCTTGAATCCTCTTGGACAGGATACGCGTCGAACGACCGATGTACTTGGCTGGCTCCACAGCAGCAGGTGAACTGATATATGCACAACTGTTTGTGACAACTCATCACCTTTGTTACTACCCTAATTTCATTAACACCTAATTTTCTTGACTTGTATTACCAATCTTCACCTGTTTAGTTAAAATAACCATAACCAATTGTCTATTTTTGTTTGACAAACTTAATGCACACATACATACAAAATAACATAAGTGCGATTGTACAGCTAAGAAAATGTATTCACCGTCGTAAAGGGACTCTTCGCTGATCTACGTGTTTTGTTTTCATATATATATATATATATATTTCTTGTGTTCCGAGTGGGATATACGGCCTCATCAGCGTGTGTCTATTGCGTACCGTTCTCTGTTGTCAAAATCGTCCATTGGATTTTATTTTCAATTCTCCATGTCAACTTTTGGTGGGCATTTCGTGGCCTCTTTTTTCCAGGAGTTGGAGAGGGCCTTCGAACTCGGTACGCCATGGTCAACTAGAAATACGCCTTTTCGAAGATCGCATAGTTTATGCAATTTTTGGGATAATATCTGCATGTCCACACCAAGCCAACTGGTTGTATTTTAAGGGATCAACTTCCGAGCTTTTGACTGGAAGTGTAGTCCACATGGCAGTAAATAGCATCGTCGGGAGTTATGTTCCCACGGTTTTTGGTGGCCAAAACAACCTTATCATGTATTCTATCCTTTCGGATTCTGAAGCGCATGTACACTACTGGTTTTGGAATCAGTTATACAGCTCCTTGTGGGTTATGATAAAATCTGCGATACTATAATATCAGTAACAATAATAACATATCAAAGGTTCAAAAGTGCTTCCACAGTGATGTTAGGCACCTACGCAGATCAGATAAGTTCCTAGTAAAAGGAACAAGTACTGTGGAAAAAAAAATCAGTTGACCAACAAGTTTGGCATCAAAAACTCTGTCCACAAGAGAGAGTCAGTCACACAGTCAAACAATTTTATAGGCAGTCCGAGGTCACTCAGTCGTTAAACAACACATTTTTCCAATGTCACCAGCACACAACCACAAAGAGAAGCTTAAAAAATTAGTGATGAAACAGAAAGAGGAGACAGCCAACTTAAAGAATAACCATCACGGAATGTGAACGCGCACACCTATGACTTTGAACGCATGCAGTTCTTCTAGTGACAGAATCTGCTGTTATGTGTATAGTATGTACGAATCGAGATGCAAATTCCATACTGATCTTGTTGGGTTATTGTACTTGGTTGTGGTGGGCATATAATCTTTTATAGTGACTTCTAGTCCTACAAGATGCTATTCAACGGGGTTGGGTGGGTGGTGGAAGAGTTGTCAATGGAAAGGGTGTTGACTTGAAAATTAATCTGATGCTCACTAGCGACTGATCCTATTCAGGTAGTTAACCCAGGATTCTAATGGGAAGCTGTGACCAGTTGTGTTCAGCAGGTTGAAGTTGAGGGCAGTAACTCATCGAAGAAGAAGACATTGCGAAGTGGTCGCGCTATGTCGTGCATGAATTGGTAGAAGTTGGAATTCATGGGCTGACTGGCCATTGGATCCAGTCCCACTGGCTGAATTAATGATCTGCGAGCTCTCTGGCTTTTTGTAACCAGAAGGTGCTGCGTTCGAACCCCCCTGTGGTGTGGGTTCCGAAGAGTCCTAAACTAGGCTGACGAAACAGCCAGCTGTCCAGTACACTCCACTGGTGGTTTTCCAATGGCGCTCTAACTGATGTCAGCTCACGATGAAATCCTACAACCCCAATTAGAATATTGTGATTAGATCGATCACAGAAGGGAATTGTTTTTCCAAATAATTATTCCTTAACACTACACATGCCATTAAAAAAATTTTTTTTTACTCTATTTCGATTTTTTGTTTCTTTGACAACAACCAAATTAGTCGGAAGGTCGCATTCATGTTGTTTGGATGTTCAATGGCATAGGTGGACAACAAAATCCAAATGATGTGAATGTCTTGTCCAAGTCAAGTTCTTCATCAAATAATAATAATAACAACAATAATGATAAAGAGAAGGAGAAGACAGGACAACACACCTCATCTACAGTGGATACATCATCTAGTGCTGTTGGCGCTGGAGATGTTGGAGGCGTCGGCGGCAGCACTAGTGGTTCATTATTATTTCCTAATGATCTGATAAACAAAGGCGGTGATGAACAACAATTTATTGCTGATCATTTTCTTATTCTTGCTCGACCTGTTATTAAACCAAAACGTGGATCTGGTGGTTCAATTGAATATGGAGCGTATTGGGCTACACAAGTCAATGGATCTAATGCTAGGGTAAGTTATTTTTGATGTGTACGCCCTACTTTGCGTGTCACTTCTTCTGCCTCCGTTGGATTGCTGGCATTCGACGATGTGATGTTATCCTCATCATCGTGTGTGTGTGTGTGAGTGTGTTTGGACTCAAGGTGCAGGTCACCATTCCATCGAATGTGTCGTCATCCATCTGGAAATACCACTGGTTTCACTGGGTTGGTATGAAGATAATGTGCTGTGTACAAATCTCACTATAGGAAGAGGCTTCCAGTACCTGTCTTTTGTTTGCTAACCGTAAGGTTGTATGGAAAAGACGCAGAGGTGATCAACATAGGACATCAGACACGATTCTCTGCTTGAGGTCCGACTAGATAGATCTAGTCGTCGGTGACTATGGCGGCGTTACCGTCAGATATGGCTGAGAATCACAATCAGTAGCGCGAACATGCTGCAGTTTTTTCCTTCTTTCTTCTCTTGCTGTGACACTAATTTGACGAATGTTGTTTGATTTTGTTAACTACAGTGTTGCTTCCTTTCTGGATGAAGTCCCTTGGCCATTCTCCCCCTATTTTATTCATATGTTATTATTATTATTGTGTGGTGAATTTTATTGAGGCCTATTATTATTTCCTTTAATTCCTAGAGGAACATAGGGCTTCAGCTGCACGTCCCCATTCCGTTCGGTTCTCTGTTAAAGTTCTCACCTGGCTCCAAGTCTGCCCATATACTTTCATCTCCTCTTCACATGACCTCCTCCAAGTCATCCCACCCTCGCACTGACGACCGATTCGCCACTTCTCTTTCGGGTTCCACTCGAGCGACGGCTTGTCTAGTGATGTCATTTGATGGTTTGTTTTCCCAGAGTATGGCCAATCCACCTCTATTTCTTTCTGCTTATTTGTTTCACAATCGTTCCTGCTGGGTTGGTTCGCTCATTACCAGAGATCACTGTTTCTGATCTTTTCTGGCCAGCCATCTGATCTTGAGCGAGTTATTGAGCGAAGACAGTTGTTGATGAAGGTTTGTAGTTTGTTTGAGGTGCTCCTCATGACGCGCCAAGTCTCCGATTCGTATAGTAAGTAGCACTGACTTTACATTGGAGTTGAAAATCCTGATCTTATTTTTGATGCTGAGTGCCGAGTGTTGATCTCCACACAGACTTGAGAGAAATGAAAGCTTGTCTTGCTTTCCCGATCCTCGCTGCTTTGATATCCTCGTCAGTTCCTTCAGCCTGTAGTTGAAACGATGCTTCCCAGGTAGGTAGGTAAAGGAGGTTGTTTCTCCTAGCTTCTGTCCATTTGTGCTGATTGTTGTTGGCCAGGAATCTTCATCACCTCTGTTTTATCTATGTTCACTTGAAGTCCTATCTTTGATGCTTCTTCTGCCAACTTGTTACTTTTCACTTGCATATCTACGAGTTTGTCGGAAATCTGACATATATCATCGGCGAAGTCCAGACCCTCCAAGTTTTTTGTGTGAGTCCATTTTATGCCTGTTCTCTCGTTGGCTGCCGTTGTCTGTCGCATTATCCAATCTACTGCAATCAGAAAAATCATTGGCGATAGTAGACAGCCTTGTCTCACTCCCGTCCTCCCTTCGAAGGCTTCCGTGAGTTTCCCGTTGTGGATTACTTGTCATGCAGCATTGTCGTATAACTATTGGATGAGATGTATAATTGTCGATGGGACCCCGTAGTAGCGAAGTAGTCGCCAAATGACCTCTCGATCGACGCTGTCGAAGGCTTTTCAAAGTCGATGAAGTTGAGATAGAGAGGTGACTGTCATTCCAAGCTTTGTTCAATGATGATTCGTAAAGTGGCGATTTGATCAATACATGACTTGTTTCTCCTGAATCCGGCTTGTTCCGGTCGAAGTTTTTCATCTAGGTTGGCGTGTTTAATTCCCTTCAGGATGATGCAGCTTAGTATTTTGCTTGGAATGGACAGGATCATAATTCCGCGCCAGTTCTTGCATTGACTTAAGTTTCCTTTCTTTGATAGTTTGAATAGGTAGCCTCTCTTCCAATCCTTGGGCCTGTATTGTACCAGATTTTGTATTTTAACTAAATAGATTAAATGAAGGGTTCTCATCACAAAATCTATGACGCCCTACACCACCAAGACCATACACTCACACACGAACACGCATATTTTGTCATCAGAACTTTCTTTTTGTGAATCTGTTATTCAGCAGAGACTCATCGACAGAAATATTGAGAAACTGTTTATCTCTCCCATTCATTGAAGAAAACCTTCCCGAAGGGCTGAAACTTCGACTTACTTTCTCTACAAAACCAGTGGTGAATATACACTTGAAGGATAAGCTACCAATGCTGGTCTCTTCACGGTGTCCTACCCTTTTCTGTGCAAACTTCTATATTGAACCTCAGTCAGTCTGTCAGTTAGTCATTCACTTGGAGTTTTCTGATTATTTTGTAGGTAACAAACGCTTTTCATCGCAAAAACCTACAACTCAGAGAAAGATTTGTATTGAATTTCGACAGTTAACAGACAATACACCCACGCACCCACCCACCCCCACACACATCCACACAATGACCTATTCAGGTAGATTTTCGATAGATTTAGGAAAACGGGTATCCAAAAGGATATATCTTAAAGTACAGCAAAGAAAGAGCTGAGAAAGAGAAGTATCCAACAGTTGAAGAAAAAATAAAGTGTTCATTTGCCTTCCATACAAAGGAGAAACAGTATCACAAAAGATTGAAAAGAGGATGAAGGGAGCAATAAAGAGATGCTTCCCATCCCTGCAGCCAATCTGGTGGTGACACTATACAGTACTACATGCTTGCTCTATAAGCCAATCGAAACTGGATAAGTACCCTGCTGATGCTACCTGCAACTGCATTTATAAATTTACATGCACCTGTGGCAGCAACTACATTGGAAGGACAGAAAGAAGGCAGGGCTTCTATCCGCTGTTTTCAGAGCATGTTCCAAGAAACTTATGCTTAAAATGAAAGCAGATATTTACAAAGTGCAATTACCAGACAGACACTCACTTTGTGGATACGGAAGGTCATTTTGTCGAGATTTCTAAATCCTTCAAAAATATTAAACATACAAAGGACAGTGAATCTACTGCAATTTACTGCTGAAGCAATTACAGCAATCAAACGTCACAGACAAAACTTATGCACACAGACAGACAGGCAGAGAGAGTGTAGTCAGTCAATCTCTCACTGGCTACCTTGGTAACCATATCACTTTCATTACACTAAGATTAGTCATACACACTAGTGGGCTCAGCTCACTAAGCAAGTTTTCAAATTGATGAACTTTGTTTGGCCTTCTTGAGTTGCCATGTTGACACTGTTTATTAGATTTTTTCTCTTTTCTGTCTTCTCTCACCCCCTTTTTCTTTCTTTTTTCATAGTTTGACAGTATATAAATTGATGGTGACTTAGATTATAATACTTATATTCCAGATGCATTCACCTTATAATATTTTCTCTATTACCTTTTCAAACAATGAAGTATGAAATGTTATTATTTATAGCCATTATAATTTCAGGTAGTTTGCAGTTAGCTGATGAGAACCTGTGAAATAGATTGATGATATCATTTTATACTGCAAATCTGGTCTTTCTTTCTTTCTCTCTATCGAAATTTATCAAGAGGGAACCAAATGTATGAGATTTAGTTTTTAGGTTACTTTCCGTTCAGAATTAACTCTTCCTGAAGCCTCCGGTTGATGATTTAAATTCACTGATGTTTTACAATTAATAGTGTTCTCTGAGGAGCTGGTTGGTGTAGTTGCGGAGCTTTCGTCGTCCCCCTGCTGAACAACATCTTCAGCGCAGTATTTAGCATAAACCGAGACAGGAAATTTCAGGAAACACAAGTATATATAGAAAATCAACGCACACACACACACACAGATCAAATACTCAACTATACTAGCAATAATCCAATTACTCACTCACAAAAGAAACTGTGTGCAGACATTGTTTAAAAGAGAGTTCAAACACACACTGTAGCACTCCAGCTTTGAAAAGAATGGAAGAAAAATACCTACTAACCGTCTCTTCAAAAAGAATGGATATTCACAAAATTTCATCAAAAAGTGTTTAAAGTTGAATCGAAACATCAACAAAGAATCATCATCAAAGACCATAAGAAAAAAATCATCCTACCATACATGAGAAATATCTCTGAAATAACAGCTAGAATACTGAAACCGTTTGATAAATAAAAATATAGCACACAAGCTAGTCAAGTCGCTTAGTTCGATTGAATGAAAACCGCAAGACCCATCCAACAGAAAAAGGAGATAAAATTAATACCATTTACAAAATAAATTGCACGTATGAACTGTGACAGGCATTACATCGGCCAAAGTGGGCGTCCCTTTCGAATTAGAATCTGAGAACACAAATCAACCGTGAAAAGACACAATATATATTCCTGTTTCATATCAAGCATATAGACAATTATGGACATCAATTTGATAACTGGGATAATGTCGAAATCTTAGACAGAGGAAATACCAAAAGTGGAGTCAGGGAATTCCTAGAAGCCAAGCCTGGTACTCAAACGAAAATGCAATTCACAAACACGTTAATATAGACGAAATATACCAACTAATAATAAAAAGTAAATCATGTGACCAGAAAGTTTAAAGTCCAAGTCAATAAAAAAAGGTCAGTTTATATGTAAAGATGGTTACCTCCAACTGTATATAAAAATTTACACGTATCTGCGAGAGCAGTTACATTGGAAGGACAGAAAGAAGAAGGGCATATCTACGATTTTCTGAACATGTACCAAAAAGCTTACGTCTAAAGGGAACAAATGTTTTATACAGTACCATCGCCAGGCATCTTCTCGACACGAGTCATGAGGTGGACGTCGAAAAGTCGTTCAAAATTATCAATAGGCAAAAGAGCTCAATTCCCCTTAAGTTTGCTGAAACCATTTGCATCAATCGCCTGAAACTTGATTTATGCGTTCAGAAAGAAGCGGTTATTAGTCTTTCTTTGCGCTGCCTGGTAACTGGATATTTTCACCTCTCTCTCATCTGAATGCGTAATGTTGAAGAGTTTCCAGTGTGTATGATTATTATTGTTGTTCGGAATAGTGGTTAATATTGCATATTTATATATGTATATATTTTTAGTGTATGCGTATATTGATCGATTGACTGATTTTTGTTTAAAATGAACTCTGTGCAAGTATGTTAAAATTGTTGTTGTAGATATATTTAATAATGTCTTTGCCATGTAAGCAGCTGACGAGAAGGCAACCAAATAAAAGATGGTACCATTTTATTCTGCTAAAACTGTAGTTCTTGCTTTGTTCAGACGCAATTATATCACTCATGAAACAGTGAAATCATTTCACTTTATGCTAAACATTGTGCTGAAGATGTTGTCCAGAAGGGGGACGACGAAAGCTCCGCAACTAAACCAACCACCTCCTCAGAGAACACACTTTTAATTGCAAATCATCTCCACTTGAGCTACAAATCTTCTCTATTATCACTAATGTTTTATTACTGTTATTATTATTATTATTATTATTATTATTATTATTATCACTGTCTGTCTGTTTGTTACAGGATGGATTGTTGACCGGCTTGAATAATACTGCCAATTATCAGATAATTGTTTATGGTGTCAAAGGGACTGGTGATAAACGACAGATTACACGTTTCTCGAAAGCTGTCTATGTAAATATGGCTGTAAGTTGTTTTGTGTTTCTGCGTATGTGCGTCTGTGTGTCTGGATCGTTATAATTCATAACAGATGTGTGTGTTTTTGTGTTTTTTTTGTGTGTTTTTCCCCATTATATAACATCACATCATTTCTGGGTGAATTTTAACGCATGTTATAGTTGCAGCTGTTCCGTTAATCAAAAATAATAGTGATAATAACAATAGTAATAACATTATATTATGTCGTTTGTTACAAAAAGGATTATCGTCCGATATTTACATCTCCCATCTGGCAAGGGAATCTTGCTAGTTTTCTAGCCTGTCTCAAGAGGGGGTAAAGATGGGGGCGGGTTGTGCGTGGGTCTAGCGACCCTAACCCCATAAAACCAGTCAAACTGTTGGAGAAACTTCAATGCACAATAAGAATATTAAAATACAAAAAAAATTCCAAACTAATCGATGCTGGTGTGATGGTTAGGATGGTGTTACGCATGCCTAGCCTAGCCATCGCCCTCCTCGACGTTGAGTAATGTTAGCCGACTTACATAGAATGAGCTTGGAAAAAGAACTAGTGATAATGGGTGATCAAGCGAAAATATGACTTTATCAGTCATTGAAGTCCATAACAGTTAGTTTAAGCCATAAAGAATTAAGCCAACCGCGTACTAGAATGCAGTATACTGTATATATATATATATATATATATATATATATATATAATGGCAAATCTTCTTCTGCCTCGCTTTCAAAAGCCTGTGTTCTTCAAGGTACCGTCCGTCCTCTCTCCTTTTCTTTCTTCCTTTCACAACCTGCCTCCTTTAAATGAAATTAACTTTGTCAAATATGCGGATGATCTGATTGTATCACTCACTGTCTATCACTTCCTAGTTTGACTGCTCCAAACTTAATAGCTTTCTGTTGGGCATCACAGCAAGTGGTCTCAGTCAAATGATCTTATGGTAAATCCTTCCAAATGTCAGGTAGTTAACTTTACTTTTAAAGCATCGACGTGACATACACGATCTAGTTAGTTAGTTTCCATGATGCCTGTAGCATAGATGGCACTGAAGATGAAACCCCATGTCAAGTATTAAACATTATCTTGAATTAGTTCTTTCCTCTGACCTTTCATGGTCCACATCCTACATCTTATCAATCTCCAAGAAAATGTTTCGTCTTACCTTTTACATTAAAAAGATAAGACAATCAGGTATCAACTAACCTTTAGTTTTGCAATTTTTAAAGTCCTGTATTTTACCTATTTTAGTCTATTGCTCTCCATTAATCTTTCCTGGGCTTCTCAAAAAAGACTATATCATATTACGAAGGGTATCAAATGCTGTGAGTAGGGGTTATGTCGTATGTCACTGCATGAGTTCGCCAATATTATATTCGACAGACATATAAAATCCTGTACAAAATGGGCAAAGGCCGTACTGTCAGACCCCCTGCACCGCCCCGCTTTATTCACAACTATCCCCTTGCATCTCATCAGGTAGGACGAGAAGTCAATATAAGAAGTGATATTCTCGCACCAATAAGTACAAACATTCTACAATACCGTATTTAGCCCGTATTTTATGTGATAGAGACACTGTTAGACGTGAAACATATAAGAAGTTACTATGTAATTAGCAAAGTGAATCGACCCTTTCATCGTTCGCTCATCTTTCTGTAATTTTATAGTGTCACCCTTTATATCGTTTAATTATAACTTTATTTTCGTTGTTATTACCATTATTACTACAACTTTATACTTTATGCATATTTTTCTCCTTATTGCATACTGTAATTTGCTACCTAGCTGCTATAACAACGTTTTATTATTATTATGTAATGCTTATTTGTTTTTTGTCGTTTTGAGCAAATTAGATGCAATATTGTACTGAATGCTGAAAATTTCTTGCTGTTTCATTAGCACTGTTTTTCTCATAAAGCAAAAAACTATTATTATTATTATTATTATTATTATTATTATTATTATTATTATTAGTTTAAGCCACTAACGGAGGTGTAGACTACAAGTGCGTGGCTTAAACTAACCGCTGTGGATTTCATTGACTGGTGCCATGTTTTGGTTTGACCGCCACCGCTAGCTCTTTTCCAGCCTGACCCTATGTCAGCTAACATTGCCCATTGTCGAGGAAGCCGATGACTAGGCATACGTAACACACATGTCCTAACCACCTATCTCAATCGGTGTAACTTCACAGCCTCGTCCATTGATTTCCCCTCTCACCTATCTAGCACTCGACCGAAGCCTAACCTCAATATTGCTCACCTTAATATACCACCATATCACACGGGAGATAGAACGCAAACATATGTCCATGATCAGAGACAGCTAGCCTGAATTTTCATGTCTTCCACTCTCAATGGCCATATCTCACTCACAGCCATAAAGGAGGACGGAGAGGACTCCCGAGCAGTACACACGCCTTTTGGTCGATAGCCAGTCGGATATCACGTATACGCCAGAGACGGCGTAAACTGGCGGGCGTATGCGAAACTAGCCCTCTGTATCCATACTGAGATTTCATCAGAGATCAACCCGTTGGCGTTGGCTGATAGTACTTCCCAAATAAGTGAAGCGGTCAATGTGCTCTACCACTTCACTTCCTATTTCTAAACTAGAAGTCAGTGTAGTCCAGTCCAGTCCTGTAACATCATCTTACATTTGATGGGAGCGAATCACTGCCAGACACATTCGTAGACTGCAACTCAAGGTGTTTCACTCACACTTCTGCTTATTATCTCTCTCTTTTAATGAATCTTCTTTTACTCTCACGGAGGGAGTGTGGCAACTCGAACTGCTGCACATCTCTGCAAAGTAGTTCTATGTTGAAACCAGTCAGTCAGTTACTGTTGTCAGCAGGACTGTACCTTCTGTATAGACACTCCCCTAAACGAACGTCTGTCTATTTATCCCGGCAACATATCAATCTGTGAATCATTGTAGCTGGTTAGGGTCACATTCATTAGTACATATATGATGAAATTACATAAAAATGGAGAAATGCTTGATCCCTAACGGACGTCATTTGATGACTGTCCATAATAAGCTTTTCCACAGATGTGAATAAATTTGAGTAGATGGCCTTCATTAGATGTGATATACCTTCATGGCGAGACAGTACCTGAGTGTGTGTGTGTCTATGTTCTAGGATCTGTTGAAGGGTGAAACCTGTTCGCTTTCCAAATAGTTTGTTTTTCCTGATCACCTCTCAATCATTCCACCACTGGGGAACTCATAATCTTGGATACTATGTGTTTATTGTCAAATCAATACCCCAAACTCCTATAAACTGGGATAATCAATAATTTGCACCAGTCCCAGGTGACTATCTCAGATGTCAACCCACTAACTAGTGTCTGGGCTAATCTAGTCAGTAATTTATCACCATGACTCTTACACCTGGCTCTAAAGTGTCACTCTATTCCTTCCTGGTAATTTGGTATGATAGAGCGAATAATATTGAGGTTATGCATCGAGTGTTGAATAGGGATGGAAAATCAATTGATGAATTTGTGAAGCCATATTGATTGAGATGACTAGGGCGTGTGTTGTTACGCACGCCTAGCCGTTACCTCCCTTAATGGTCAATTGTAGCTGAAAAAGGAAGAATGGTTAGGAAAGAGTCAGTTAGTGTGAGTCAGTCACGTAGAGTGGTTTCGATTGCTAGTCTGGTTGGGGCCTTCAGGGATTTAATAATCAATAAAGGTTGGAGATAATTGGTGATGGTATGGCTTGAAATCATTCTCAGTGATGGCTGGTGCATGGTACTATTCTTTCTCTCCCACATTTTTGCTTATTATCGCTCTTTCAAATCTCCTGTGTTGTTTCTCCTGTCTCTCTCTCTTTTGTCTTCCTTTGTTTGGTACACTGAGTGTGGCTGGTTGACTGACAGGTTTCACAGTAGAACTTTGTACAGAAATGCACCAGTTCGAGTTACCACTCTCCCTATGTAGCACACAAAGCAAGAGGAGAGGTTCAAAAGAGAGAGATATTAAACAGAAGTGTGAGTGAGGGAACTTAGAGTAGGAATACGGAAGAACAATAGAGCATTCTGATCGGATATGACAAATCACAGAGACTGAATGCATCTGCGTCAGCCACTGAGAACGATTTTGAGCCATATCACCAATTTTCTCTCCAGTCGTCACTGGTTCTTACCATCCCGAGGACCCCCAACCAAGTGGTCTACCAGTCCTTATGTGACTGGCTGGTTCACACACCAACTGTTGTGCATTTCATGGACTGATGAAGTTATGTTTTGCTTCGACTATCAACATCACTAACCTCTTATCCAACCTGATCATATGTCAAATTCAAATGCAGAAACACAATTAATTGCATGCATTTACTAAATGAAATAAATATGTTAGTTGGCATCACATTGTGGACTTCTCACCGGAAGTTATTATTCTTGTAGCTGAGGCTGACAGTGATGTCACTTCATGTTAGTAAGCAAGTTGTACACTGAAAAACAAAATTTAATGCTAACAATGAATTTAAGCCAGAAGAGTTAACTTTCTGTTCTCCCATACATAAGTGTATGAGCAATCACTGATTCCAGATTGCCGATCTTATAAAAGTTGACTTGTTTCAAAGTCCTTGGAAGAGAAACTACTAATGATGTGTGACTGGAGTGTCCAGCGGTGTGGGGAAGGAAGGAATGTTTAACTTCCGTTGCACACTACCACTTTAGAGGAGTAAAGTTTGCTTAGTTTTGTTCGTGTACATGAGACGACAGCATCACCAGCTACAGAAAACTGTAAAGTATGTTAGAACGTACATCAAATAATAACATTCAGACAGAAACTCATCTACTAGGATAAATTCTCTCGAAATAATAGGTTAACGTATGAAAAATGCAGAGTAATTGTGTACTGTCTAGGACATGGCAGCAGTTGAAGGTGCGCGAATGAAGGTAGAGATACGAATACAGGCAAAGATACGAAAATAAACAGAAATGTGAAAGGAGAATAATGAAGGTTTAATTAATTTGGGAGATGACAAAGAGTGA